CAGGAGGATCGCTTGAGCTCAGGAGTTTGAGACCAGCCTAAGAGCAAGACCCCATCTCTACTAAAAATAGAAAAAATTAGCCGGGTGTGGTGATGCACATCTGAAGTCCCAGCTACTCAGGAGGCTGAGGCAGGAGGATTGCTTGAGGAGTTTGAGGTTGCTGTGAGCTAGGCTGATGCCATGGCACTCTAGCCCGGGCAACAGAGCGAGACTCTGTCTCGGAAAAAAAAAAAAGAAAATTACCAGAGGTAGAAATGACCTGTGAGGCCCAATAACATGTTCCAAATGGATGAGGTGAGGCAGGGGCAGTGACTAGGAAAACCCATTAAAGATTAGCTAATTTCAATCAAATATTAATGCTAAATACAGCTAAAAACTTAATTGCCAGAACAGGAAGAATTCAGTCTAGGCTAAATTAAGGGCAGCTGGAGAGAAGGCCAAGCCAGATTCTGAAAAAGCAGGAGATGCAAGGATGCAGGTTATTCTGGAATTAGGCAGCACCACCTCTCCTGGGAAAAGAAAAGTGAGAAAACAGAGTGTCCCTACTGGCTGCTCCTTCCTATATTGAGTCACAGAGGATGAAGCCAAATTTACTCAGAGGGTCAGCCAGAAGCCCAAGTGTAATTCCAGGTATAGTCCTATGTTCTAATCACTCTCCACCCAACTCAGAGGGCAGACAACGCAGGGCAGTGGGACAAGGGCTGGAAAGGCAGAGGCCCTGAGACCCACTGTGCCTCTCACTGGCTGTTGAGACCCTGGACACTCTCCCGTCTCCAGGCCTCCATTTCCTCCTATAGAGATGAGAAGCTGAGCTGGACACTCTCTATGGTCTTCTGCAGCTCTGCACACTCTAGTTCAGCAGAGTAAGGGTGGCCTGCAAGTTCTGCTTAAGGGACACTGAGTGGTCACTCTGTGGTCAGGGAGAAAAGGCAAAGATCTGACCCAAGTGGCACCTCAGGGCAAAGGCATTATTACCCTTACAGTGAGCCAATCAAGCAGCAGGTAGAAATGTGATGATCCACACCAATCCATGCCAATAGGAGAGGGGCAGAAACCTGCTGCTCTCCAGCTAGCTTATCTCAAACAGCCACAGGAACACCCTCCTTGCTGGGTTGGTAGAAGAATTAAATAAATATGGATGTACACATACATACACATGTACACTTCAGACAATGCCCAGCATGTGGTAGGCATTATTCTACCTCTTTTCCCCTTCTAGGAGGGAACTGAAAAGGAAAGGAATCTTCACCCACTATTGGACCAGTTGTTGACACCCATAAATATTTACTAGGGGCTCTGGTCCCATATCACTGAGATTCGGAGGAGATTTCCTGGAATTTTTCCTCTTTTCCTCAAAATTTCTCCCCATTTCCTATCCTCTTGCCTCTAAGGAAAAAATGTCCCTACCCCTTTTCTAAGGCTCATCCATTCCATCACTTCTGCTTTCTAGCCTTATCCCAGCTGGACTTCTGCAAGGACCCTCAGACCTTTATTTTAATTCTTTCCTTTTCATTACAGCTTCTCCTCAGCCTACAAACAAGGACAAGTTTCCAGCCCAGCCTAAAAAAAAAATCCGTATCTCAGCTCTTAACCTTCTGGAAGAATCTCCTAACTTTCCGCAGCTCTAGTTCTACTCATTTCTGAGACTCGTCTATGTCCTTACACTCCAATGACCCTGCTCTCTCAAAGGTCAATAAAACTGCTCGCTGCCCAATCCCAACCCAACCCCTGCAAAGAGTTCATCCTTGGCTTCTTAGAGCTCGCCTCCTGCTTGGCTTCTCCGAAGACTTCTAGCCCCACAGTCACTCTGTCACTAGGTCGTCTTCCCCCACTCACACTTTAAACACTCATTTGCCCTTCTCCCATTCTCAGCCCTTGGACCATGGGGCAAAAACTCTAACGTCCACAGAGGCCAAAAGGAAATTTAAATGAATGAT